TCAGTTTTTCTCTTTTGAGATCATACCTGGGTCTCTGAAAGTCCAGGCAAATTGGCTATTCATAAGTAGATGTGAATAATCTACCTACTGCTTTCCCTGGATATACCTACTACATTGGCAATAGTATTTACTTCATAGTGGACATTAAAATAGCTTATGGCACTATTTTTTTTGTCTTTTTCCTGTCTTTTTAAAAAACTAATTGAGATAATCAGTGAGGTATATGAGTTGTATCTATTGAGGTGATTTGTTAGGTATATTGACTGTATCTGAGAATCAAACTTCATATCCAAGTGACCTTGGTTTGAAACCTTCAATTTCCCCCTGTTTAGATAATATGCTATCTAAGCCATCACTCATTGTGAAAACACCCCAAGGCTCAGTCATATTCTGTGGCATTGAGAACATGTCCCGTATTACTTTTCAGCTTCTTATTATAGTACTGCTGGTCCAAGGATCCTGTCTTCCTGAGCCATTTTACAGTCTCAACAGAAACTGAATGGGGTGGGAGGCAGTGGGAGGTGACATGGGACAAAATGCCAATTGATAGTCATCAGTCACTTATGACAGCCCATGGCCTCAATCACAATTGCCCTGGGTCTGTATTATTTGTTTGCTGTTTGTAACTAATCCCATTACTTGATTTTCAGATCCAAAAGCTCATAGTATGTACAGAATTGTGGCTCCCTGGATTGGTATGTACATCTAAGAGTGGGCACTCTGAAATTAAGGTTGGCAAAATCTCTCTCTCTGATTCACAGAGAACAAGAGTTGATGATCCACTACCGTGATTGTCCCTAAATGAAGCTTCATTTCTTTTAATCTGTCCAGAACCCCACCCCTTCTGCAAGCTCTTGTGAGCCTTCCTGAGGCTCACTCCTTCCATGTCTCCTTCTAGGTACCTCCAAACAGTCTCAGCCTGACATGGACTTGGGTACCTCTTTCTCCTGCCCACAAATCCTTTCTACATCTCCTTTGCAGCTGTCACAATCATATCAGATATACCAGCCCAACTGGGAAATCCATATTCCTGAAAAGTGCCAGTCATTACTGTCTTTGTCCAAAGAAATTCTGCCCTCTGGGTTCTCTCCACCAAGAGTTCCACTATTTGTCTATCTTAAATTGTCCCCACTCTCCATCTCTCATTGCCCACTCACTGATGCACACAACCATATATGACCCAGGGTATGGTTTGCTCCTGTTGAATGGGGAGACATGGTTCCAGCACCGCCGGATGTTGACCCCAGCCTTCCACTATGACATCCTGAAGCCCTACGTGGGAATCATGGCTGACTCTGTCAGAGTGATGCTGGTGAGTCTCTCTCTTTCATTCCCATTCACTCACTCAAGGCCCACACTCAGATTCCACAGCCTAACAGCCATCAAAAACAGTCACATGGAACAACAATCTCAGGCCATTACTGTGAGAGTCAGTTCTTCAAAAGTTGAAGGAGCAGAGTGGACCCAAAAGCAGGATATAGTCACTTCCTTACAATCCAAGGCAGACAGCATCATGGTGGATATAGACTCCCCTTCATACTTCCAAGTTTTCAGCACAGTGAACTGCAGGAGGAGTTGATCCAGCTTAGCACTGCTGATCCTGGGGTAGGATTCTCTCAGGGTGGAGTTGAGGGCTTCCATGTGGACTTGAGTGACCCATGTATTGATATGGACACCAGGTCTACATCTCACAGTGAACCTGCACATCCATCACACCCATCAGAACTCAGATGAATGATCTGACAGTGCTCAGCAACTTTTCTTTTTTTTTATTGGTTGTTCAAAACATTACAATGCTCTTGACATATCATATTTCATACATTTGATTCAAGTGGGTTATGAGTTCCCATTTTTACCACGTATACAGATTGCAGATTCACATTGGTTACACATCCACATTTA